GCCCAGTTCTTTTCTTTTCTTCTACTTGTAGGAATTTCTTGCCAGGATGTTTCTGTAGTAAAACAGAAAAAAAGAAACTAGATATTATGCTCAAATTGTCATCGTACTGCTAGGCCAGGCTCTGTTAAGGTTTTATGAGGATCCATGAGAAATTATGCAAACACCAGAATATGAGATTTTTGACTAGAATGTTATTATTGCAGGCACAAACAGGAACAGATGAGATGAAAAATGCGAGGTGGAAGTGTAACAGAGTGCCTGCTATAAGAACTGGGGTTTCACATAATGCCTGCCAATTTCTTTGTAATCTAGCTGCTTTCATCAACCCAATGATTACTTTCAACCTGTTTATCGGCCAGAAACTGGCACATGTTTTGTGATACAGCTGACTTCCTGTGAGAATTTAGTCAGTTTACAATGTTTCCCATAGTGAATACTTATCAAAGCATGAAAAATGTGAAAATCTCACTTTGAGACAATCATGGGGTTATTTTACAAGTAACATGGAAACGTACACTACTTTCAAAAAGAGTTCAATAAGAGGGAAAAAAGGAGGAATATGACTGCAATAATTTCTGCAGGTTCTGTGGTTTTAAAATTTATTTACAAAGTTGACAGGAGAGACTGAGAGTCCAGTGAATGTGTCAGCCAACTGCTGTTCTTCAATTCCATTGAATTCTTCCAATAATGAGCATGAATCGATGCGTTCCCATTCAGGTCATAGTTCTTGGCACAAACAAACATCTAGTAAATTAATTGATCACTATATTATCAGAGCTGTCATGGCTGATTCTTGACTGGGTCTTAACAAAAATTTGGGTAGCAAGATTTACATGTAAATCTCTTCAAAGCCCTTAGCTTGGTAATACGTCTTCCTCTGCCACCACTGTGCGTTTTTTTTGTTTTTTTTTATAAATTATATTTGTGCTACTAATGATATTATTAAGTTATTACTATTAAGTCTGCGGTTGCTGCAGAAGTGAACAAAAGGGAGTTCTTATAGCAGGTGTCCCTCCTCTCTCTCGTCCCTCTCATCCCAGCTCCCCCTTCCCTATCCCCCATTTTATGCCTGCTACACAGGCTCTCTTGATCTATCTTTAGCAGTTTGTGGCCAACGGGTATTATGGCTGCAAAACTTCAAGTAAATAATACTAACAAGCGCTTATGGCATAATAAGCTTCAGGCTTTAATCTTAAATTTTAATTACTTAAGCTTAATCGTCGCAAAAATATCTTGAATGCAATTCGAATTCCACCATAATACAAGCCGGAAGCAAATCATCTAGAGAAGGTTTTTAAAAGTGCTTTTCACAGTATTCGACGGCAATAACAATTTGCATTATTTTAACTTTCGATACGGCAACCAGTTCGTTTGTGAGCTTACGTGTTCGCAGTGCAGCGCTCACCTTGTTCTTCAGGTTGTGTGGTTGAAAAAACCTGAAAAAACGCTACGGTGGGTGGACGGTCCACATCAGGTCTTCGAGTGCAGAATACTCGACAATTCCTTCCAAGTTGACGACATTTCACGACATTATTCCTGCACTTTTTCGCATTATTTTTTTCAGTCAGTGTCCTGTAACTGGCTTGACCACGAGGAACCGAAAAATGAAATGCAAATATGAAAATCGCGCTCCACGTTTGCAGTCGTTTGCACGTGCAAATTTTGCGGGCTGTTTGCGCCCGCGCCAATTTCGTTTCCAGATCTCTTGTTGTGGATGAGACTACTCGCACGTACTTGAGAGTGTATCTGAGGTCTCACACCAAGTACTACCCCTCAAATTGCTGGATTTTGGTTGATTTTCCGTATGCGCACCCGATTTACCGTTAGACACCGATCACAATTATTCAACTCTATTCTGTAGAGTACAAATAAAGCGCAAGACTGAGTCGAATATCCCGTTACTTTCAGTCGGGTACCTCTTACGTCACACACACGGTTTCGACCAAACAATGACCCCCCACTGACCCCCCACTGACCCCCTATAAAATCAGTGGAAAAAAGAAAATTTAAAAGAGCCCAAAACTATCAAAAACTATCTTTCGTTTCAAGTTTATTAATATATTGAGCTTACCCGAAATTTCCAAGATGGCGGACGCGTTGCGGATTTCGACCCTCTTCTCCTTTGATTGTAAGTGTAGGTTTCGCTTGCAGAAAATCGAGCACAGGATAATTTGGAATACCGTCGAATATGGTATTCGTACCCATTAGGAAATTAAGCAATGAAAGTAACGAAGAAATGCTGGCAAAGGAACATGCTCGCGGGCGACAGGTACTCAGGGTCAGAACTGATCTGGCCTTTAAAATCAAAATGGCGCCGATCTACGACCAAGCTGGCTGATTTTGAACTTATAACTTAACTCAACGGTAGTTCACACCCGGTTCTTTTGCATGATGACGCTCATTTGCATCGAATACGGAAATATACTACGTACAAAAGTCGAAAGCTCGTTATACATTTATTAGCAACAACTACACTGTTACAAGCCAAGACCATAATCAAGAAACAAACTAAACGACAAAAGTGCAAAGTACAGTTACTCGGCCACAGAATCACTGGCCTCGGTAACAGTGATCTGTCCCACGTGACGTCGGTTGGAGAAGTTGTTATTGCGCGTGCCCATGTAACAGTACTCCCCAGGCTTTGTGATGCGGAAACACGGCGGGTTGCAGGAGGCTGGGTCGTTGTCAAGTTGAGCCTGTAGTGGTTTCTTCTCATCTGTGTAACATCCCTTGTTGAGGTGGAGATTCAACTTTTCAGCGTCAAATTTATCAACATGGTCAACCACTTCAAGAGGCAAGCTGGAGCAAGCTGCTGGTTTAAGAGAGCTGCATCCTTCCTTTACCCAGCATACGTTTGTGCGATCAGTACCTGAAATGAAAACGGTAGTACTGGGTTCGCACAATGTTACACTTATTTTCCTTGGCTGTATCCTCTGAATTACCGTTACAACATATTTTAAATCAGTTTGTTGCTTCAGTAAGGTAGCGCGAACTTTAGCTACTTTTCCCGTGAAAGGAAATTCAACCGTTAGATTAATCTGTACTTTCAAGTCTTAGGTTTCTCTAAACGTTTCCGTCTAATGTTTCAGAGTTGGCGTGATGTCTTCCGAATGTTGCCGACGAAATAATATTTAGATTTAGGTTTAAACATAATTACAAGAATCGATTGTCTTTTCTTACGTGCTGTTCCTTGTCCATCGTTGTTCGCATTGTTGTTTGAACCTAAAAAAACGAAAACAAGTGTAAGCCTTGTATCGTGTTTTTTCTGCGCTTTTTCAAAGTAAGTAAGTAAGAATGCCACGATGCTCAGAGGCAAGTAATTATGCAGTCAGATCCAGCAAATAGTTGTCTGGTGTTTAAGATCTTTTTTGGATTAAAGTGGACAAAAGAATGTCTTCATCTCACCGGACCAGACAAAACACACCACATCCTTTGTTGTAACTGAAATGCGTTCAGGAGTGAAGCGATATTCCATGGCTGGATAAGCCTGCACAATGTTTCCTCTCTTTCCCATTCCTCCGATGTAGAATATGTTGGAATGCTGGAATTTCAAAGGAAGGGAACTCCTAGGTTTAAGGAGAAACACGTGACTTCTGTCCTGGAATGTGCGGCCGACCTGCGCGGTGTTCAAAGCGAGTTGTAGATCGGTTTTACCATCAACTGCTTTGGTTTTAGGGTTGTTCGTGACGCTGTGGAGGCAAAAAAAATTGGGATAGCCTTGAGACTTTTTATGCAAAAAGAAGGCGGCTAGTCAATTATATGCATCGTGATCACAAGTTACTTTTGTTGTGAGTACTTCCAGCAAAAGTCAGATCGCTGAGATACAGACTTCAGTTCCATCTCGATGATCGTAACGATCATTGCGATCATATGGAAACCACTCTCCAGAGACTGCAACAAGGAGGAGATGGAGAATGTTGCCATGATTATTATACCAGAGGTCCTCTTTCGCATTCTTATTCTATAGCGATTATAGCATCATCGTACAAGTAACATTTTCTCTTGATGGTAACTAGCAGTCGTAAGGATCGCTAAACTTTCTTGTTAGTGGTTGCAACGATCGTAGTGATCATAAACATCTCGCATACTGCTTGGACCAGTATTACTGATATGTAAAAAATCGCGGAAAGAAATTATGCCATGTTCATGTATTAGACTTATTAGACACAAGCTACTGTATATGATGATGTACATTACTGTGAACTAGCATCTTGAAGGGGGAAAACCTGAGATAAAGCTAAGATTTATGGAGAATATTTCTGACAGGGATTTTTCACTCGTTTCTCATACTAGTGAAATGTCATGAATGAGACTATATATATTTTGTCATTGACAATTACTTTTTATTGTTACTGGCATCAAACTCGCGTGGTACATCATCAGTGGTGATATTGTATCTGCAAGAAAAAAGAAGGAGATATGCAGAAATATATTCATCACAGTTGACCAATAATTTAGGCCAATATATACTGGTTGACTACCAACCCATGGTGCTTTGTTATTGTTTCGTAAAAAATAATTACCAAAACTAAGGTCCTCTTCTCGTGCTCATCACCCCACAACACGTTCATCGCGAATAGCATTCTGGTCATGCACAGTTTTGACTGTGAAAGGTTCAATTTAGTCGAGGGTCATAAAGCCAGGGGAGTCTCCGGCACGGTTCACGAACAGAAAAAATAAAGGATCACGGATATAAAAATTTCGTTTCCCCGAATCACGAAAATAAGCAGGTGAGATACTCTTTTTAATGACCTGTTCTTACACTAGAAACAGTGTTTGAAGAAAGCAAAATCGCGAATGGTCAAGTCAAGTCAAGTCACTCTCGATAGACGACTCTAACCATTCGGAGGACTCGGGTCTCAAAATCACGTAGAGTAGAGTGGAAAATCACGAATATTGGTCAATAATTCAGGTTCTTCACGGGTCACGCAAAGCCTTCTGGTCACGAGTCACGAAGAATAATTTCCTAAATTCACGTTTCACGGAAAATAAAATCAGCTAATGACGCATCACGAAAATATCCCTATACGACCCTCTCAGTCAGCGTGATAAAGGCAAAACTGTTTTGGACCAGAAGAAACCTGGCGCGAGTGACATCTCGCACTCGTTTATGAGATCGTTACTGCATGGTGATAACATTGCTTCTCATCTTCTGCACAGTGACGGTCCAACAGGCAACTGCAAGATGAGACTCTCCTCAGGTCTCTTTTAGTTTCATAAGTGGAGAGCTGTTTTTGACTTGTTCAGTTCCCTCCAGCTACTTCAATTGTTAACCGACTGTGTACGTTACTTGGTGTTTATCTGAATATAATTACTCTTAACTATAGTAATTGGTAAGCATGCAAACAGTTTATGCAACAAATACATGCATTATCTTGAAGTGGTACCAAATTCTCAAAATTGAATGAAAGGAATTGCGAGGCGGTGAGTGAGGAGAATTCATATCTTGATAATTTACTTATCAAGCATTAAAGGTGATGTTATGTCGTTACTTGTCTCACCTTATCCGTAACAAGCAACGCTGAGTAGTGTTGGTTGGGAAACAAGGGACTTTCCACTTGTACGACGAAAACTTCCCCTCCATGTTCATGCCGTTATGGTTAACGACAGTGGATGGGGCGTAGATCACATCTGGGGTTTTGTGAAGAAGAACATACTGCACTTTTCCGTCAGCTCCTTGGGAGAGCAGATGGGGCTCGTACGGTAAACCTCGTGCAAGCTTCATATCTCCCACGTCTTTGCACGTGCTCAGCACTCCAGCTGTTTTCTCCACATAGTTTGTGATAAATTTTGTCCACCTTCCTCCAGCTGCTTTGCACGACTCTGCAGTGATGTACTTGGCAACGCACTTTTCAGCCATAACGTTTTGGTTGTCTGGCGGACAGTTTGCGTTACCTGTAAGCTTGCTTGGCATAATACACAAGTCTGAAGAAATAAAAAATTCAAGACGAAAAATTAACGAGTCGTTTGTTATAAGTAACTGAAGCTAAAGGTACTCGTATTCACTCATAGTCAATCAATTCAACAAGATTTGGTCAGAAAAAAGTAGAAGCGACAACAAGAAAACTGATTCAAACAACAACGATAAAAAAACACCTACATTTATGCCCATAACGAGGACTGTTGACGTATTTCTTCATCAACGCCTCGGTCTTTTTATCGCTGACCATGATAGCAATGTCCTTCCACGGGGTGGGGCCCCAATAGGGATAGTAATCACGTTCCTCGGGGACTTCCAAACCCCTCCTTGTTCCTGCAGCGTTTTGTCGCGTGTAAATAGGCAAATCACCTTTGAGTTGTTGGTTAGCGGTAAACAAACCTGTCACATGAGCAAAACGCGTTAGATTCGGGCTTTAGGTGGCTACTTTCTTGGATTAATACTAACAATCATTTCCAGTAAACGCTACAATAATGCCATCAAACAAATTTCCAGTTATAAGAGAACAAGACGCAATCATTTTCTTGACCGCTACAAGTTACCATAGCCTGTTAAACATATAACCAGTTTAAGACACTATTACTTTTAGCGTTGAGTGTCTATAACTCAAAAAATAAGCCAGGTGATCCCCATTATTTTATTTTTCACAAAGCCTTAAAAACAAACGTGGTAGCAGACTCAGAGCCACCTTAAATTTTAAAAAAATATTATATGCTTCTGACACACCCATATCTTTTTTAAACTTGACAAAAAGTTAAATTTTGAAATGGGGGTGACTGGCGCATGGACTCGTTTTTGAGTTATAAACTCATAAATTTAAAATTTAGTGCTAGCTCGGGATATTTTAGCATGCCTGCTCCGAGAAAATCGCCCGAAAGCAATCGCATGTTTTATGAATTCATGATATACAGAAATGTACAATAGCATGGTGATTCGAGGCAACTCGGTACATGCAAAAATTATAATGAAGACAACATGGGTGAAAATCAGCGCAACATTTTCCTGAGTTGACGCTGAAAATTAGCGATCTTAAAATGTTTCAATTAATTTGAAACTACGGGATAACGTTAAATATGGATTAAACTTGTTGCGGGCCAAGTCTAAAAAGAATTCATTTAGTTTTTTTTTTTTTTTTTA